TTACTACAACCAAAAAAAAAAAATCTAAGTCACGTGTGACTTTTATGACCCCATGCTGGAATTCAAAATCCCGATCCAGCTGTCCAGGCTTGTCACACAGGGTAGAAAGCAGGATGCAGCCTCATTTATCACTAACTAGATGTTAATGAGGAATACCAACCTTCCTTTCTGTTAAGTTCAGGCAGCTTATAAAACCAAAGACCTCATCATCGTCATCATCATCATCATCATCACTACTGTCCTCCTGAACTTCTGCTTGCTGTTGAAAGAATGAAAAAGCAACAACTCAGACTGACATTCTATTTCCACTCTGCAGCAAAAGCTGTTTGTCTTCCCAGGAGATGCTCAGCAGATGACAACCATCCAGGTGATCTGTACAAACATAAACTGCAAATTCTGGGGCTGCTTCACTGAACATCTTGCTGTACTCAGAGCCAGCTTTATATAAAGCCAGGTCATGCATCTTCTGCAGCAGGGGCTTTTGAAAGGCACTAAAGTTTGATAGCTCACATTTAATAAGCAGCATCTCGGTCCGAGGCACGGCAATATCTTAAGGAAAAGCAATTTTCTGCAGTTTCTAAAGTAGGGGAAGTAAACCTGCAGTGTCTTAAAAAACACAGAGCAATAGAGCCTTGATAGGGAGTGGGACAAAGAGCTCAACAAAACTCCACAATAAAAAAAATGTGGGGAAAGAATTGGGGATCATGCAGCTGGAACAGAAGGATCATATTAAACCTGGACAGAAAAACTGCTGGCACGGGACAAAAAGTGGATGTATAGCAATGGTTTAACAGCACAACTGTGCCATGGGGGCAGCTTGTTTGGGTTTGAAAGCAATGTGGCCATGATATCTCGAGCACCACACAATATTAAGCAGCTTCCTGAGCCAGCAGAACTTGTTCAGCAATCATCCCCGGATCCTTTTCTATGCCCAAAGAACTCTGCACAAAAAAAATCTGCACACAGGGTATTTCTGGTCTCTATCTTTGTACCTCCTGAGAATGCAGGAAAGACCCAAGCTCCTATTTCTTATGGATATGAGAACAAACTTCTCCACAGCATTTTCGGCATTACTTCCCTACTACACCAAAATTCAGAAAGTGAAAAGACTTTCATATGTAAAAAGAAACCAGTAATAAATCAAATTTATTCTTTGGTTGAAAGCAGGCATAGAAAATTTCAGCTCCCATAAAACAATTACTCTCAAAGCCAAAAAGCAAGATACAAATTAAAGCATCCCCTTCTGAAATACAGAAATTATGTCATTTCAACAACAATTATTGTACTGAACTTACAAACATAAATTCTATCTTACCTTGATAATACTTCCAATATGGTTCTGTTGTATTAATATATCAGTCAGCTCAGCAGTGTTAACAGGAGCTTTTAGAAACAACTGGAAGACAGGAAATAAGTATAAAGTTTTAGGCACTGATAATATATCATGGGCCACTTAGTAGTAAATAGTCAGTAATGTCTCTAAGTTGCCATGGAATACTCTGTTGCATTTTTAATTTCTATTTAGTGAGGTTTTTTATTTAACTTCCTTCAATATAATACTGTAAAGACTAAAAATCAGCTTCTTGAAGTACTTTCTCCTGGACCTTCCACACACAAGGTTTCCTGGGGAGCAATTAACATTATGAAGACAGAAAGATGCAATGTGAAAGAATAATCCTACATTTCATTGGGTCAAGTTATGGAAACCACAGTTTAGGAGACACATGTTCACATGCAGCTGTAACTATTTAATCTCCATGAGCTGAAGAACAGTAAAACTATAAATCAATACAGAGAATGTGAACTGATATCTCTGCTTCACTCTTTAGATATTATTTATCACACTGGACATACCAACCAAGCTAATAAGTAGCCAAAGTACCTGTTGCAGTAACTTCTTTATCCCGTTGTAGTCATTGTCTGATATGGAATGTGCTTCAAATTCAATATTCACTTCCTGTGAAGAAGTAAAACAGAGAATATCAAACACACTTGACAAGAACCTATATCAAAACAAATCTAAATTTGAAGACAAGTAATGGCAGATATCAGAAGTAAAACTTATTTCCATGTTTCAGCAACCCTGGTAATTGTTAGTTATCATTTCTTCCGTGAAAGAAGCAGAGCAGCTGTGGCTGCCCCATCCCTGGAAATGTCCAAGGCCAGGTTGGATGGGACTTGGAGCAACTTGGTCTAATGGAAGATGCCCCTGCCCAGGTCAGGGGGAACAAGATGAGCTTTAAGGTCCATTCTAACCCAAACCATTCGGTGATTCTGTCTAGTAAGACAAGGAAGGTCTACAGAGGTAACTGAGACCACATGATTTACTTGAAAAGCTACCTGGACATACAGCATTCACTCCTGGCACCCAGGAACTTTCTGACTGCTCTAAAATTCAAGGATCTCACTGAATGATTAAGCCACTAAATTCAGAACAAAACACAGTTCACAGTTGTTCTGAATGCTGTGCAAATCACTGCTATAAAATTGATATAAACCAAGGGAGCACTGGATGTTCTAACACCAGTCTTGCTTCATGGCTTTTCCACTACCCAAAATAACACCCTGGTAGGAAAGAGTTCACAAACCCTCCATATTTCATCTATTAAAAAAATAAGACAAATACAAACTCATCATATATTTTGGTGTGTCCTATCTTGCTGCTATGGGCTTCATCTCCTCCCTCCATGTGTATTCCAAAGCCAGAGCCTGCAAAGCAAGCTGTTACGAGTTGAAGGGAAAGGCTAATATGGCAAAAGTAAAAATGCCCTTAAAGTATTACTTTACAAAGTTCTGCATAGTTATAAATGCTCAGTACATTTCTTTAATATTACAGTGCACACCTTGATGTCTTATACGAGAACTGAGGGAAACTCAACATATCTTTATATCAAGACTTCCAAACTAAAATAGATGTAAGAGTGATATATCATCCTCAAAAGCTGGGCTACTAAATTAAAATAAGTGTTATTCTGCAAATTTTATCAGTTGAACTGAAAAGCAGTGCAGGACACAGAGAAACCATCCTCATAATCCCTGCCACTGAAGACTCAAGAAACTTCATCCACAGTGCAATAAAAACCACTGTCCTACCCACATTATGCAGGGGTGTTATGCACTTTTAAGAAAAAGGAGGAAAAAGAAAGGATTATTGTCATTAGCTTTAATTTTTCAGTGTTGAAACAGTAGTGAAGTATCTTTTACCAGTTTACAAACACTGAACGGGACACACAGTACCAGCAGTGCCAGTCCAGAACTTCAACACATGTTAGATTAAACCAGGGCAGTGCCCACTCAACGTGACACACGTTTCTAGCAAATGGGAAATGTGCTTTTCCATCATGTTACTACAACTGATAACACAATTAAACCTACACTTCTTATCAGGACATGTTTTTTTTAAAAAGACAGGGTTTGTGGTTTTTTTATTTGCTAACTTAAGTAGGGCCTCATCTAAGAAAAAGGAAAATAATTAACTAAAAGTGAAATCCTAGTGAACACAATCACTGCAGCAAAATATTTAATTTAAAATGTACCAACTTAGAATCCACAGATACTTCTGTTCTTGGCCTTTTTAAGCCCTGTGAAAATAACAGGTTGCCTTATCTGAAGATTTTAGTAAGAGTTCAAAGTCAGTGCACAGAAACACAGAATCATTTAGGTTGGTAAAGCCCTCTAAGACCATCGAGTCCAACCATTCCCCCAGCACTGCCAAGGCCACCCCTAATCCGCGTCCCCAAGTGCCACATCCTCACGGTTTTAAATCCCTCCAGGGATGGGGACTCCACCACTGCCCTGGGCAGCTGTGCCAGGGCTGGACAGCTGTTTTGATGGATAAGTTTTTCCTAATATGCAATCAAAACCTCCCCTGGCACAACTTGAGGCTGTTCCCCCTTGTCCTGTCATTTGTTACCTGGGAGAAGAAACCGAACCCTCCCAAACATCTCCGGAACATTTTCCCGAACATCCTCCTACACACCTTACCGAGCATCTTCCTAAACAAATACTCTCCCAGACAAACTCCCGCCCAAACAACCTCCCGAACACCCCCCCAAACAAAAACCCTCCCGAACACCCTTAAGAACATCCCCCCAGATACCGCCCCAAACATCCCCCAAGCCCCCTCCCGACCCCGCTCCGGGCGCTCTCTCCCATCTCCCGCGCTCCTCTGGACGCCGGGAGCGGCGGGGCCGGGCCGGCTCGGCGCGGGGCCCGCTCCCTCTCACCTCATCGATCGGCTCCTCCGAGTCCGAGCCGTCCGAGCCCTCCGAGCCGTCCGATCCCGCGGATCCCGACTCGACCCCGAGTCGCTGCCGGCCGGTCCCGGCCCTGCGGAGCGCGGCGCTTGGCCGGCGTGGCCATGGCCGGCGGGCGCAGGCGCGGCCGGAAGGGACGTGTGGCTGCGGGGCCGGCACAGCGACAGCGCTCCGGGGTGCCACCGAGTGTCACCCAATGCCACCCAGTGTCATCCAATGTCACCCAATGTCACCCAATACCACCCAATGCCACCCAATGTCACCCCAGTGTCACCCAATGTCACCAGTGTCGCCGTATGTCGCGACAGAGTCGCGGGGGTAGCACGGCGGAGGGGGGACGCGGCGCGGCGGCTGGTGCGCGGTGCTGGGGGGGCGCTCCCCGGACCGCCCCTCTGCCCAAACCCCCGGATTTCCTCTCCGCGCTGCTGCTGTCACTTCCTCCCGGCAGGAATTCCTGCCTGGAGAGGGTTGTCAAGCGCTGGAAGGGGCTGCCCAGGGAGGCAGTGGAGTGCCCGTCCCTGGAGGTGTCCAAGGAGCCGCTGGACGTGGCACTCGGTGCTCCGGTGACAGGTTGGACCCGGTGATCCCGGAGGGCTTTTCCAGCCTCAGTGATTCCGGCGTTCTGCGCTTCTAAAGGAACAGGGTATCCCGAGCATCTCTGACATGATTAAAAATTAGTACTAGTAAAAATCAGTAAAGGTAGTAAAAATTGCGAATTGAAACAGCTTGCTGCTTGCCTAGAAAAAAAAAAAAAAAAAAAGGAAAATTCCCAGCTTCCCCAGAACTAGACTCCCTGGTTCCGGATAATTCCAGGCTAACAAACACAAAAGGGAGCGAGGTACAGCACAGTAAGCACAGTGTGAATGTTCTCTGTATGGAAAACACCAGTCAGGAAAATACGTGGAAAACTCCTAAGCACTGAAATTACCGAAGTGGTGACTAATGACTGAGCCTCAGTTATGTCGAACGTGCTCCATTTAAGTCTTTTTGTCTAATTAACGAAGAAAGGTGGATGTTAATGAGGTCACTGAAGAAGGGGACTGGGTACTCCTACTGTCAGCCACAAGAGCAAGGCACAGGGCCTGGGATGCAATTCCAGCTTTATAAATACAAACCAAGTAGGTTAAAATTTTTGTTTCCTTTAAAGCATCAATCATGCCTCTATTTATTTTTTCTTTTTTTTTTTTTTTTTTTTTTTTTTTTTTTTTTTTTTTTTATACATGCTCTGGGAGTACTTAGTTCATTGCCAAAATGTGAATAATGATGCACAGGGAAAGAATTTAATGTAGGAAGGTGAATTGTCAGATTTTTCCTGCTGCACTAAAACTGCCTTTCTGGGGATGCAGTCTGTATGTGTATAGTTTTCCATTTGATTTGTGAATTTGTGTTTGAAATTAATTACTAATGACTAACTGCTTTTGGTAAAAATGCATGATGTAGTAGAAGGGTCGGAGCCTTTTGCTGCTCCTCTGAACCAGTTTTGTTGTTGAGTTTTGGGACTTAGACACCCAAATAGCAGGAATTATTCTTAAACCTTTCACTGTTGTTGTTACTTGGTTATATATGTCTTAGATTATCTGGGAATTTGGTAGGTTTCTGGACCATACTCCATGGCACCCTTACAGGTGGGGTTTTATCTTCCCTGGTTATTAAACCCATCTACTTGTGGTAAAACATTTGGATCTCTATAATAATTTATTTTAAAGAAAATTTGCTAGTATGTAATCAGGAAATTGGGATAAATGTGGATAATTAGGGTAAATGTGCAGTTAGAGAATGGATTTCTGTTTTTATGATTGGTACATTTGTAGCTGAATTCAACACCAAAGTGCAAGTTTTTGAGGAACTGAGAACTATCATCTTCCATTTTAATGGCAGAATGTGTGTTTTCAGTGTAGCATTGTTGACTAGAGATACATGAGAGAAAGCATGTGAATATTATGATTATATATATTATATTCAAGTAGCCACACATACGTTGTACTTAAAAAAAACATGTTGAAACCCTGTTTTCCCTTTAGAAAAGGGTGAGATCCCAAAATGCATCAAATCAAATCTTTGCCTAAATATTATGATGATCAGAGGGTGAAAACCAGCATGGACATTAATAGAATAAATAACTTTTCCACAGATAGGAGCTGATCACATTGCAGAATGTGATGGCATTGTAGGGGTTGTTACTGCTTTTACAAAATACTCTTTAAAATGTGTTCTCCTTGATGACTTTCATTGGAGCCCGTTCCTTGAGCAGTGTTATCTGAAGGCAGCATGTTATTTTTTGGCCTTATCAGGGTGGATATTCCTGCCCAGAGAATGCCCAGTAACTGCTTACTCATTGTGCAGGGAGCTGTACAACTGGTAGCAACCCAGTTCTTTGGAGCTGAGCTGTTGAAGTCACTGTTCAAGTAGGTCTGATTTAGATCTAATTTAGATAAATTCCATTCTTGCATTCTAGAGTTCTGCTGCACTTCCTTGGTGAACAATGAAGGTTCTGCTGCTGAAGGATCCCAAAGACAAAGATTCGGGACCAGATCCGTATATTAAAGTGAGTAAACTTTAAAAAAAGTAAACAAATGGGTCACTTCACTATTAAATAATAGTGTCAGATGGATGTAACTGTTTCAGGTGGAAAACATGCTTAATCAAAATTAGGAGTGGATGTTTGAAATTGTGATATTTTCCGAGGAAAATAATCAAAAATAGGAGTACATTTCTGAAATTATGCTAAGAGAAGAAGTGTCCTAGAAAATATGCTCTTACTGCAGAAAGTTATGTTAGTTATGGGGCATTTTTACTGAATTCACTTTTAAAGCTCTCAGCAAAGTACTGATATAAAATCAGTTTCATTTTAATTATTTAATATTGATCATGTTCATATGGATAAAATTAAGATTACAAGAATTCTTACTATTCTTACTGGGAATGTAATGTGAAATAGGGGTTAGTTGTTGGTGAGGTCCTTTCTGCTGCTGCCTTTAGTCATGTGAGTGAGTCTTATTGTAAGAGCAGTTCTGTTGAAGAGTTTCTGTTTAACAGGAATTATTTCTTTAGAAGAATGCATTATTTAGAAGAATTGTATTTACAGAATTACAGAGATGTCCAGGAATATTTTCAGGACTTGGGATTTCAGAGTTATCCCGTAACTCAGGAGGCCTCTGTTCCACAGCTATTTGAAATACTAAACAACTAACAAACCAAACTAGATTTACCAGTAAAAGGAAATCAAAGGCCTTTTAATTTTGCCTTAGTAAAAAGAAATACTTGTGCTGACTTAGTCAATTATTTGAAAAAGGGAAAAACTGCTTTTTGGAACCTATTTCAAGAGCTGCAAACTTTTTCTTGATAGGAATTAGGATTGTATGGCCTTGAAGCAACGTTGATCCCAGTTTTGTCATTTGAATTCCTGTCTCTTGAAAGCTTATTTGAAAAGGTAAGTTCTAAATTATTCTGGTTGTCTTATTTTCAACAAAATTTAGGCCATGGCTACCAAGATCCCGGGTGTTCTCTTGGTTTAATTGTGCCCTTTGTGGTACCTTTTTTAGCTGTGTATAATAAAATTTTGTGTACAGCACAGTCCAGCGGTTGGACAACATCGGGGACCTTGTCCATACTTGTTAAAGAATTAAGTTAGTCAGACAAAATTCACATTTCAGTTGATGGACCATAGACAGACGCAAGTATTGGGGCATTTCAGACATCTCTTGAAGCTGTTCTGTTCCTCTCAAGGTTGTAAAGAATTGATCAACTTAATTTTTAAATTAATTTACTAATTGTTTTTGTTCACTTCTTGATTTACTGTTTTTAAATAGCTTTCTCATCCAGAGTGCTATGGAGGCCTAGTTTTTACCAGTCCAAGGGCATTAGAAGCCATCAAAATATGCTTAAAAGAGAACAGTAAAAAAGAAGGTAAGTGTATATTTGTATTCCTTGGTCTTTCTCTTTCAGTATCTTGTGAAATCTGTATTGTACTGCATTTTATTTTACCCACCAGTAGATGTTTGGAGCATGACTTTTTAAAAACAGCTGTATCTCATAGTTCTTGTGACATCCCTAAAGGGCTAGTGGTGGACTGAGCTTTTAAGGGTTGGGTTTTCCACACTTAAAAATTAAAGGAAGGAGCCTTTGGTGCAAATTACTAATTAGTGAGAGCTTTTCCACTTGTGTTTGTCTTGTGCATAGGGAATATTTTACTGCAGTGCCTGGTTTACTCACTAACTACTTTCCTCCTTTAAAGAGAAGAGCATCTTATAAGAATTGGCCACTGCTACTGTGCCTACTGTTACAGAAACAGAGATTTCTCTGTCTTGAATAAAAAAAAACCCTCAAGTGAATTAATTATTAGCTAAAAAGTGGTGAAGAGCTGATGATACCTAAAAGCCAACAGATCAGCTGTGAGAATCCTACTAAATGGAAATTCCTGTCACAATGATCTGTCAAATCATATTGAACTCTTCAAAAACTCTTGTGATAAGTGATAGTTCTGCTATAGAGTTTCTACAAACACTTAAGTAGTTTTATTACTTCATCTGCTCCATATTTGGGCTGTGGACTTACTAATCAATGTACTGGGAATAAGGTTACACCCCTGAGTAAGCAGTGAGTACATTGAGACCCTTGGCTTATTGTGCCTTTTCAGCAGCAGAGGACAATATATTAGGATTTGGGGTCAAATGTAATCTCTTATATTGAGTTCATCCCTAATCTTGATTAGGACCTGCTGAAATACAAATTTTAATCAATAAAATGAGTCATTGGTTCCTATTTTTTTTAGTGTCTATTTGAGTTCCTTTCAAAGGCAATAAATCCTTATCTTCTTCCTTTTTAAGAATAGTTTCCTCTGATTTGTTTTTTTTTTTTTTCTGTTGTAGTTCATATTTCTTTTTTTCCCCCCTAAAAATACCAGAAAAAACTCCCTGTCCTGTGCTGTGCTGGTTTAAGACAAGACAGTAAAAGACTTGGTGTATCTATTTTTGACCCATTAGGATTTTGGGCACAGGGATCAGGTTGCTGGAACCAAGAGCAGTAATTTATAACCTCCTCACTGCCTGAGGGAGGAAAACTGTCTCACAAAAATTTTATTTTGGTCTTGGGTACATTTTATTTCAGAGTTGATAACTTAATTTTGGTGCATGTCTAAAATATAATCAGTTCTATATATTTCTTGTATAAGAGTTGCTTTATGCAGTTCTGTAGTGGATGCATACAGATTTTTACCCTTTTGTTTGTTGTCATGGAATATTATATATTTTTGCCTAAGTACTCAATTTAAACACCAGTTTCTGTGTCTAAATCTCCCTTTGCACAATGTGCCTTTTTTCCCCTACGAGTTCTGGTTAGTTTTTAATGCCAAAAATGAACATTGCAAGTTCCATGGGATCTGGCACAGGGCAAAGTGTACATTAAAAGTGCTACTTAACCAAAGCAGCCAAGAACTAGTTACTTAAATTGACCTTTTAAAAACATGTTGAAGACTGCTGTTTACATAGTGAAAAAACACATTTAAAATTCATTTTGTACATCCAGTTCTGCAATATGTAGTGGGAATATTAGTTATTATTATTTTGCTGTATTTGTAGATTAAAAAGAAGTCCAAATAATCGTTTAGCATTCATATTTTGTTGCCATGTGCTTTAATGTAACTTAATTCAATGTTTTTCAGCCTGGTTGAAATCTCTTAAGCAAATGTGGAATATCAAACCAACGTATGTGGTAGGAAAAGCTACAGCTTCTTTAGGTAAGCTGGTTTTAAAAAAGAAATCTTAAGTAAATCTGGCTTCTAGTACAATTTTTGGAATATTATCTGTTGTTCAAGGGTGCTCAGAAAAAAAAAAAGAGTAAGTTTTCTAACTGAATAATTTGAAAAACATATCCCAACTTTCTATGCTTTAGTCAGGATCTGCCTTCTGGATTCTGCTCCTTTTATTGCAAAGTGATGGTCACTAATTGAAAAAATTTGGTCAAAGCAGGAAAAACACCCCTTTGTTCTTAATTTGCATGTGGCTTTTTCATTCTGTTTGGAAATTAATTTGGATGAGAGGGATTATAACCTGATTGAGACTGTACACATAGTTTCCCTTTCAACCCATATTTCTGTGACAGTAAATCCGAATTGTTTTCTTTGTTTTCAATGCTTTTCTCTACTTTTGGTTATAGTGGAAGAAATTGGCCTCACCCCACAAGGAGAAAAGTGTGGAAATGCTGAAAAATTGGCTGAGTATATTTGCTCAAGTAAGTAGCTAAAATTTTCTAGTCAAATTAAGGTATCTTCCATTGTTTCAGAATTTCCTGAAGATAAAATTAAGTGCACAGTGAGACAGAGAAATACCTGCTGCAAATATCTCTTGTTTGTAGGACCTGTGAATTCAGCCTCTGGGAGATAACTCTGACAGACAATAAAAAATACTTCAAAATGTATATACAAGGTATTAATTTACATGAAATCTTAGACTCTCTAATTGTTTAATAATATTATATGTAATGCTGATCTTTGCTGCATTGAATTATCAGATTATTGGGTAATTTTTAAAGTCTTGTTAGTCCACTTCCTCTTTTGTTTTTATTGTAATTTGTTAAAATTTCCAATAGTAACAAGAAACATTTCTAGGCTTAGGGGCTGATTATTTTTTGAGTGGATGGGTCAGTACAAACTGTGAAAAAAGAGGCTGTGTTTTTGTACAGATGCCAGTGAATTGATCAGCAAAGTCTGCACAGTAGCAGAGATTTATAGGTAAAAGGAAAATACAATTGGAGCTGGCAAATATTGCTTTTCCTGGGCACAGTGTTCTCTAATTCACTGGAAAATAAAACATTTTAACTATGTGGAGTATGTAATGATAAAAGGCATAGTTGCCAACACAAGATTGAATAATAAATTGTGAAAATTAGAAATGATACTTGCAATACAAAAAAGGCCATAAGGGGAGAACAACCCATCTCTGCTCTTCAGCAGATACATTAAAGCAAAGAGAGGTTTTAGCTGATTTTTTTTAGTGCTAGAAAATCTACTTCTGGCAATGAATTCAATGTTTGCCAGTTGGCAGGTGCAGGGATTTTTTTTTTGAGAAGGAAGACAAGAGAAATACCTTTTTGTTCTGTTGTAGGAATGTGAAAAAACTCAACCAAACAGTGAATTTCAATCGTTGGAGTCTGCTTGTTGTTGATATATATAATTATCCTCAAGGTTTTATTGGATTGTGCATATTTGTGTGCTCTCAATTGGTTTATAACAACCTCAGAAGTACAGATTCAATTATATCATGTTCCCTAGTATGTATATAATCATTTTTTTTAGGCATAAAAGAAGTAGATGAAAAGAACAGCTCTGAATTTTTTATATCACTAGAATTTATTGTCAGAATAAAAGGAAAATCTGAAATAGTGAGTTTTTTTTGTTGTTTACCTTTTGTGCTTTAAAAAAATATTTCAACCTAAAGGATTGAGAAATAAAGGAATTAACTCTGTAACTGGCCAGTTGGCTTTACTCTTTTTCAAGGCAAATATTTGGTTACAGAGGTAGGGGATACCAATACTTGTGTTGTTCGGGCTTAGTAAGGAATTTTTCTGTCCTTTGTAAACACAAGTCCAAAAGGATCTGTTTCTTTATAGGTGTCATATTGATATTTCAATTAACTGACAGGAGTTGCAGGAGAATTGATGCTGAAATATCTTATTTTAAAACCTTTTTTGCATTCTGAGCCAAGTTTATTCTTCCTTCCTATAATTTATGATAAAGATATCTGTGTTTTCTAATAAAACTTCAGTGTGCAGGCAGGACAGGTGTATCTGTGGTGACTCCTATCAGGGTCTTTCCATGTGATGTTTCCTATGCTGCCCTTTATTTTTTATCCCTGAGAAATCTCTGCTGCTACATAAACCAAGAATCTCCTTCCAGCACTTAAAAGCATTTCTCTTACTAGTAATGGCGTCTTAAACATGTATTAACAAATCTAAATTAGTACTAAAATAATTTATTGAGGGACTCCCGTTTCTTTTGAAAGCTGAGTGCAAAGCTGGAGCAGCTGTGTAGAATTTCAGCTTGAAATTTTCTCTGATTTTGTTATTTATAGAAAAGGCAAACTGGGCAAAAGTCTGCTGTTAAATTGCTAATTTGACAAAAGCCAGTGAGGATATTCCCTTCCATCCCAGCAGTGGAAGCAGAATCCCTTTTTCCTTGCAGAAGTAAGGTAGAATTGCAGATAGACTGAAACTTTTCAGCAGAAAAAAATGTTCTGTCCTCTTCTTTGTCTGCCTGAATATTCTTTTATAGAGAGAGATCTGTCATATATTGAGTGGGACTGAGATTTTAAATATAAAATTGAGGCAGATTGTGTTGAGGAGGAGGAGATAAATTCCTTTGTAGAAGGGCAGGGGGAATAGAAATGCATTTTATCTTTGGGGAGATCTTTTTAGGCAAAGTATTCATATTCCATCTATGGAATATTTTTAATGTACATGCTAAGTAGCCTCTGTCCTCTGAGTTGGGGATGAGCTACCTTAGGGCTGTGTCTGTGGTGAAGCATTTGATAAATCAGCATTTGATACCTTTAAAATGTATCAAATGTATCATGTTTACTCTTTACTAAAGACCTGAGCTAATTAAAGTTCTTGTTTTGTGTGTTTACAGGAGAGAAACCGAATTCCTCAGCTCTTCTTTTTCCTTGTGGAGCCCTGAAAAGAGAAGTTCTTCCTACAGTGCTTAGAGAGAAAGGTTGAGCTTCCCCTGGGGACTCCTTTTAATTAGTCAGTGATGAGAAAAGTTGCCTCTGAAGCTTGTGTACCAAATTTGAATAAGTAAAAATGGAACTTGCTGTTAAGTTGGCTGCAGGTTGGAGGATGGGAGTAAACACTGGGAGGGTGGATGGCTGCCCACAGCTCTGGGACATACAAATCCTTCACAGAATTTCTGTCTTATCTTTTTAGCCTAAAATAACACGCTTAAGGGCAATTAGTATGTTGTGAGTGTTTAATTGAGAGAATAGAAATTAAAGACACCCTGTTTAATTATGACTGTGTGTCCTGATTCCAGGCATACCTCTGGAAAGCCTGACTGTTTATCAGACAACCCAGCACCCTGATCTGCAGAAATCCTTGAGCAGTTACTTCTCACAGCAGGTACTGGATGCTGATGTAGTTTGAGTTTTTTGGGGGTATGTGACAATACTCTTTATTTAGTATAACTTAAATATCACTGGACACCTTTGCTCTATATCTCAAACCAGAATCCAGCAGTAACCTGGCCTACTTAGTGTTCCCTCTCTGATTATCCAGTCTGTGAATGCTTTACTGATCTCATTATAAGTGTTAGAATTCCATCTGACATGCTGTTGAAAAGTGTATTGAGATATGTTTGCTAGAATTATTAGTGTTTTTCTAAAAGCATCTAGTAAAGGTCATTCAGGAGCAGTGAGTGCATTGTAAAAATAGTAATGGCTTTAAATTGTTTCAGTATTGGATTTCTGAATTTTCCATTTGTAGGAGCCTCATAGAATTATAGAATCATGGAATGGTTTGGGTTGAATGGAGCCTTAGAGACCATCCTGTTCTACCCCCTGCCATGGGCAGGGACACCTTCCACTATCCCAGGTTGCTCCAGGCCCCATCCAACCTGGCCTTGGACACTCCCAGGGATGGGGCAGCCACAGCTTCTCTGGGCAACCTGTGCCAGGGCCTCACCAGGGGAAGAATTCCTTCCCAATATCCCATCTAACCCTGTCCTCTGGCAGTGGGAAGCCATTCCCCCTTGTCCTGTTCCTTCAGGCCCTTGTCTTAAGTCCCTCTCCAGCTCTCTTGATGTCCCTTTAGGCACTGAAGGTGACTCTAAGGTCTCCCTGGAGCCTTCCAGGCTGAACACCCCCAGCTCTCCCAGCCTGTCAGCTGAGCTTGGGACTCACCTTCACTCCAGGCACAATTTGGCAGTTTTGTTTGGCTACAGCCTATTCCTGCTGCAATCCTAATTCAGTTTATTCTGGGAGTGACAGCCCTTCCATGTGTCTGCAGTTCTAAGGCATCACCTTGTCTTTGCCAGAGGATCTCAGGGCAGGGGGAACATGGGGAACTTGTGACAAAGTATTTGGTTACAGTCACTCCTGAACTTCAGCATTCCATGGCAGGATGGGGTTTGGCAAGGCTGGCTGTGCCCCAGGAATCCCTTTCTGCTGCCTTCACTGCAGTTTCTCATCCATAAAGACCCTTCCCATCCATATGGAGACAGCTGAAGGGATTTCTGTGACAAGGCACTGCTGGAACAGGGAGGGATCTGTGCCAACCTCTGCTTCCTCTCACTCAGGGAATCCCTGCAAGCGTCGTGTTCTTCAGCCCATCTGGTGTCAAATTCTGCCTCCAGCACATTCAGCAGCTTTCAGGGGATGTGATCAACCATGTCAAGGTATCTTCTGTTAAAAACAGTGAAACACAAGAGGGAGTAAGTTTGGGGTGGACAGGTGAGAGATAGGAAAGTTGTTACAGCCATTACAAACCTTGATTTTTCTCTTTTGTTTATTTCTCTGAAAAAACCCCCAGATCATGGCAAATACAAATGTTATTATGTAGAGTCATGGAATCACAGAATGGTTTGGGTTGGAAAGGTCCTTAAACACCATCCAGATCCACCCCCAGCCATGGGCAGGGACACCTTCCACTAGACCAGGTTGCTCCAAACCCTATCCCACCTGGCCTTGGTTGGAGTCAGCTGAAAGCCTGGTTTTGTTTTTTTTTAAAAGGAGTAATTGTTTTCATCTAGAATGTTTTCCCCAACCAGCTTATCCCACCTCCTCTAGGATACACTTAATTTTCTCTTACTGAAGGTGTGAGGAGCTCTTGCTTGAACTGGGCTGAAGCTGATTAAAATTCCTCTCACTTTTGCTGTTCTGAGGGACTAAGAGCTTTAAATGTTTGTAATGATGAGATAAATATTAATCTTTCCTAAATAATTTCTGAGTAGCTCAGTGGATGGGTGCTTTTTAATATTGAAAATCCTCCACCTGAAATGGTCAGTGGTGTTGAGGAAGCTCAGCTGTGTGAGGGGGTAACTGGGAGGGCACACACCTGAAATGTGATGCTTTGCCTGACCATTTCAACTGGAAATTTTGTCATTCCAGTTTGCTGCCATCGGGCCAACAACTGCAGAGGCCCTGGAAGCTGCAGGGATCCCTGTGAGCTGCACTGCAGGGAGCCCCACTCCCCAGGATCTCGCTGCTGGGATCCACAAAGCCCTCCACACCCAGAACTGCTCCTTGCCCAAGTGAGAGCCCAGGGTGCCTGGGAAGGTGAACATGGTGCTCTAGGACGGGTTTCCACTTTCAGGTCTGTTGTCGTGCAAGAAAAGTGTTTTTTGGGAATATACAACACTCTTGTCAGGGACTGGTGTGAGAAGGTTGCACCTAGATGTCTAAGAAATGTGGAATCTCTCCAGCATCTCTTAAAACATCCAACTCTTCCCCTTTCCTCATGTGAATGTGAGTATTTTATCCTTGAAAACTAGCTGTGAACACCTGTACCCTGAAATCAGTTCCTCTCATCACCTCAGGTGTCTCCCAGCACACAGGTCAGGTTTTAATTTCTCTGTATAATCAGTTTTACAGACACGTCTTTTGTACGAAAAACCCCCACGTTTCAATGAAGTTCTTTTGTAAACTTGTTTATTGTTCTGCTTTTCAGATATTTGTGTGAAAATGATGATTGTAGATTCTCAGTGGAATGGGAGAGTTCTTGCAATGAAGTTGCACTGTGTGGGGCTAATTCAGGTCTGCTCTTGCCCTTCAACGTCCTTACAGTACAGGGTCTGAAAAATTAGGTTTGGGTTTCTGTTCCTGTAAAGGAGGAGGGTTTATTAACAGGGAAATAAACTGGCTTATCAGAGTTCATAATGGTGTTAGAGTTGTGTTTTGGATGTAGTTTATGCTTTAATTATTTATCTGTGAAAGGGGAAAAATAATCCGATTTAGCACTAATGCCCAGGGATTCATAGAAGATTTAAATCATAATATACTCAATTATAATCCTCCTGAAAAAAAAAAGATCATTTGTGTTGCTAGCAAAGTGCTGAGGTTCCTGGAATAACAGAGAAGCCTTTATTTGCTGTACAGTCCTGTTATCTTAATTCTGAGGATGCAACCAGAATTTCCAGCCAGGTGAGATGCTCTGGACTTGGAACAAGAGTTAATCTGAGCCCAGTTATGCTCCTGCAACCTGAACTCATTTCAGATTGTGGGTGTGGGTTCATCAAACTGGAGCCAAGTATTTGGCTGTATAAAGCAGTTCCATTTCTTGAGACAAAATGGAATCTCAGAAGGAGAATCACAGAATAGTTTGGGTTGGAAGGGACCTTAAAGAAAGCTCTTCTAGTTCCATGTGCATACATGTAAAAACTGTTTCTACCTTTAAATAAAGTGTTTTATACTGCTGTTTTTCAATAGTGAACCACATTTATTTGTAGAACATCAGATGCTGTATTTTTAAAAACTTTGTATTTCAAGAATGTGTATTTCAAAAAACCCAAAGTCCTCACATGCTGATATAAGCCCCCCCCCCAGATTTTTTCTGCCTTTCAAGTAGTTTTCATTCTCTTTTAATTTGCTGCTCTGATGAGGGTCATAACCAAGGAAAGACAGACTTGTGAGTTTATATTTAATAAATAAATTTTTATTGAAAAATATCCTCTCATTTATTCACAGTTTCAAGTCTGAAAAAGATAATACTATTCTTGATCAACTCCAACACAGCTGAAACCATTCACTTTCCAAAACAAAATCCCCGAGGTGGCGGATAAATTTGCAAGAGTCACATCAAAGCTTCAAAAGGCACAACATTTTTGTGCAGGATCCTCACTGGAATAAAGTAGTGCATCCACATATCCCACAGAAATTTCCCTGGGCTGACATCAGCAGTTAAACTGTTCCAATGCAGCCTTGCTTACAAAATATATTTCATTAAATACCAAACCAGAGCAGCTGTGAGGTTACATTTTTATGCAAAACATGGATATCACTGCAAAGCCCATTCCTGTAAGAGAAAAATCATTAATTTCTCCATGGTGAAGAACAGTTACATTTATATCCACAACTCCAACTTGGCATTTCAAACAAAGAAACGCTGGGAGCTGAACGAGTTTTGTTGGGATAAAAAGGAATCTGTGCTTTCCCAGGTGTCCAATGTAACAACGTGGTGATAACATCACCTCAGTAAATACAGATATCCCATGGGAACACAGCCCAGTGATCCCATGCAGCAAGGCACTGGTTCTGCTGCTCTGCAGGGTTGCAGTCACTGGATCCCCCTGTTGCTGCCCTCAGAATTTGGAGCCAGCTGCTCCAGTAAATTCAGGATGAGATCCGTGCGTTCCAGCAGGGTCAGGCCCTTGTTGGCAGTCGCCCGCAGGAGCAGGGAATAAACCTGCTTGTTTGTCTTCAGAACCACTTCTTCTTCATTAATGCCCCTACAAAGAAAAGAAATCATACAAATTATTACCCAGCCACGGTATTTTATTGTGCAAATTATCAAGACTGTTATTAAATAACAACATTGATGAGTATCCCTGTGGAACCACATGGCTGGGGTTGTGGAATCTCCTATTTCCTCAGCCCTCCTATATCCTGCTGTTTCACAGAACTGCAGTCAGAGCCCGCTCTTTATACTGCAGGAAAGAGCATAAAATATAAATAAATATTATAAATAAAATGTCCAGGCAGCAGTCAGGTTAATTGCAAGAACTTCAGGAATGACCGAGAAACGTTGAAGCAAATTAAATTCCTCACCCACTTGGCAGAAATCAGACAGGTTCATTTATTATACAGAGCAGGTAGTCAATAAAAAGCCACTGAAATGCAAAGTATTTCTGGGATAAGTTACAAGAATTCCCAGAACAAAGTATTACTTTCAATTACTTTTCCCCTCCGATTTGCACAGCCAAGTTCTGTTCTGCTCCTGCATTTCACTTTGAGAGGATAAACTGGTTTCATTCAGTTTACTGCCAGTCTGCAAGTTTTGCTATCAAATGTTAATTTTCCCACATGTTCTCCTGTCCTCTGCACTTGAGACCCTGAAGCAGCATCTGTGAGCTCCAATTTGCTCCCTTTTCAGCCCATTATTAAGGCATAAAACAGACCTTACCTTCTGCAAAGCAGAAGGGAAGGAAAGCACACAGGATGTACAGAAGGCACTAGAAAGGTTAAATGAAAGGTAGCTTTAAGCTTGGCCTCAAAGGTTCAAGAAGTTGAACACATTTTAACGGTCCCATTTCACAGCATTCAAACATGGTCCCTGCGTGGAACCTTCACTACAAAACCCCACTCAAGAGACAATGACAACCAAGTAAATATGGGGGGAAAAAACCCTACAAACCAAGGAATGAGGTTTCTGCTTTACCACACTTGCCCATGTTATGAGACCAGAGAACTAAACCACTGTACTCAGTGAGCTGGGACATCTGCTCAGTGACACTCTGTTTCACATATTCAGATTGCCACCTTGTGGGAGCTTTTTTAGGAGGTGAAAGCACCTGACACTGCCTAAACCCAGCTAAGAACACACACAGGCTGTGTTCCCCTCATGTTTTCTGTTCACCACTCTCCCACTAGCAAGCAGAATTAATTAATTTCACAGTTTAGTTTTAGCAAAACACCTCTTGCATCAGCAGCACTTCAATTCCAAAAACTACAAACTTCCAAGCCTAAAAGAATCCCCTAAAACTAATGCCCCCTTTTCATAACTTAACTTTTATATAACACTAGAAACAGATCCTGCTCCCTCTCTATTTCCAGCATGACTGATGTGCCCACATTTTTTCTCAAGTATTCTGCTTGCAAAACTACACTGACATTTTATCAAGATATATCCAGAGATCAGCAGCACACAGCAGGTGCTCTGTCCCACATGAAGCCCAGTCTCAGGATGAAGGACACCACATAATGCACCTCATTCCCTGGACAAAGTTTGATTAAAACAAAAGACGAGAAGTGTGCCAGCAAAAACACATCAGTTAAACTGCTTTGTCTGTGAATTTATACCTAGGAGAGGATTTATATCCTCTAAAGGATAAGTTAGATATGAATCACTGATGCTTTACCACATTCTGTGATACCTGTTTTGTGCATTTCAGACCACATTTACAAGTTAGTGTTGTCCTATTTGAATACAGCCATTCAAGTCTGACTTTTTTGTCCTCACTCCTGGACTGATATGAGGAAAGAGGAGAGAAAAAGCTTCCTAGACACACTCAGCAAAGATATTTCTTGGCCATTCCCTCAGTTACACACAAACCCACAGAAAACATTCAATATTTAGATAATCAAGGCATATCTCATCTCCTTCTCCATGCAGAAGGGCCATCTCCATAAAAGAATATATATTACACTTCCTTAAACTTTAAGAGTACACAGTTTGTAGGGATTTGTGGATGACAATCACACTGACACACATGTGCCAAGGTTCAACTTACCCAATCTTCTTTTTGGTTGAAGTTAACAATTTGATGGACTGGAGGAGCAGGAAGGACATTCTGGACTCAAAGATACTGAGCAGTTTCAAGACTTCTTCTTTGTTCAGGCCCACAGAGGAATCACTTGGTGACACACCCTCAGCAGGACTTTTGTCCTTGCTGATCTACAGGGAGAGAAACAACCAAAAACCATTTCACTGAACTCCACCATTTAGACACAGGTAATGAGTCAGAAAACCCCACCTGCAGGTGAGCCAAGTGGTAAAATGTGGAAAATAGGGACTTAAATACTCCATGTTTTGCCCAAAATTGCCAGGAAGGGATAAACACACATCAGCAATTACTGCAAGTAATTATTGATTGAGGCATCAGGAACCTATTCACACTGGCCACAGACAGTCCTCCACATTTTAATAATTAAATATTAAATACACCACAGAGAAAGAACTCCCTTTTTTTTTGGACATACATTCAGAAGTTCTTAGGTAAGGCTTTTAAGGGATAACATGGGCCCTTTAAGGGATAATAAGAGTTGCATGTTTTAATCCATCTCTGGATCATGTTGTAGAAGAATGTTGTTATCCACTTCCAGGCTAGGAGAGAACTGCAATAGATTCTAACTCTGTCCACACTATTTGAGCAACCAGCTCTATGAAAAAGTAACCCAGGAATATTTTAACTGCCAAGTGACCAGTTTTTTGTGAATGCAAGAGCCAGAAGGGAGCAGGTATCACACCACTTGAGGTTCCTTTACCTGTTCACTTTCTGCCACAAGCTCCTTCCTGATGAGCTGGAAAGCACCCTTGGTTTTGGTCATTATATCCAGGGCCCCAAACAAAGTCTTTAATTTCCCAGCACTGCTGTTCTGACCTAAAAAAAGTAAAAATGAAGGACAAATAGCTTATGTTACAGACTGTACTTTTTCTTCCATCTTCAAGAGTTCAGGAGAAAAGCACACACTGTCCTAGTCAGCTGAAAACCAGCAAGATAAAAATGCCTTGTTTCCTCTCTTGAGGAAAATTCTATTCTGAGCAGCAGATTACCCCTGCACTCATACACAATGTAGGTATTTAAAAATGAAACCAAGTAGGCAGTGGGAGTTTGGAAAGCTGTTGTAAGGCAGAGCTACACTTACTGGCCATCTGGAATTCTGCAAAGGCCACTCTTTCCAGCTGCACACGCAGGAACTCACAGGGTGTATCCTTCAGGAGCTGGAAGAGCCGCACTGCTTTGCTGTAGTGAAGATCAGCAAGGACACGGTGCTGCTTCCTCAGGTGTTCATCTCCAACCTGCACTCAGAGCAGGGCACAGAGTGAATCCCAGACAGTGAATGCCAGTGAATGCAGCCACTAAAAAGCTGTATTTGCAAACTGTTGTGAAATACCACATATTTCTTTGGTTAAATAATTCAGATAAATATATCCCAGCTAGAGGTAGAAGGATAAATATCAACCTCCACACACACTGGATGTGTTAAGGATGGAACTGATGCCAAAAACCAACCCAGTGTGTACCAATACCTGGTTCCTCAGGCAGCTGTGGTACATGGAAGCCAGCCTGTGGTGGATGGTGGCAGCCCTGTACTGGCACAGGGGCTGTCGTTCAGACACTGTATCAACATCACAGTACTTCAAGGACTTCATCATGGCTTCACTCACTTCCTTCTCTATCTACAAAGTAAATAAATAGAAAAGCCCAAATTTAAAAACAAACCCGGGAGAGGGACTTTTCATCAGGCCATGTAGTGATAGGACAAGGGGGAAAAGACTTAAGCTGAAAAAGGATAGATTTAGATGAGATATTGGGAAGAAATCCTTCCCTGTGAGGGTGGGGAGGCCCTGACACAGGTTGCCCAGAGAAACTGTGGCTGCCCCATCCCTGGAAGTGTCCAAGGCCAGGTTGGACAGGGCTTGGAGCAACCTGGGATAGTGGAAGGTGTCCCTGCCTATGGCAGGAAACTGGAACAAGATGAGCTTCAAGATCCCTTCCAACCCAAACCATTCTATAATTCCACAATTCCACTACCAATTTTGCTCCCTATACAGTTTTTCAGGAAGACAATTATACATTTTTCCCAGATGTGATGAATGCTCTCTGTTACCTGTTCCTGAGCCTTCCTAGATAATGGAGCATAGTCCTGCTGCAGAGTTGC